GCTGTGACTCACCTGGGCTGCCCCACACCCAGCACAGCCCGTGGGTGGTGGCACCCAGTGCTCGTGGCACAGCCCCAGCAGAGCCGAGTGCCAGCGGTCACTGCAACCCAGCCAGGTGCTCACTGCTGGCTTTGCACCCTCCAGAAAGCACAAGGCTCCTTTTCCTCCAAAGGAGCCTGCAAAGCCCAGCTCTCCTGGGCAGGGGCACAGCTCTGAGCACTCAGGTCTGCACCTGCACAAAGAGGGGTTGTAGCTGGAAAGGCCAGACCTAAACCTCTGAACCTTGATCCCTCTGCTCCTCTGTGCAAAGGTGGTGAGAACGTTTGGGCTGGGACTGCTTTCTTCAGGGACCAAAAAGGATGAAAACAACCTAAGATGGGCTTTGGGCTCCTTCTCCCCAGCACCAAACACCTGGGGCACAAGGACCTGCCACCCCAGATGGCACCAGGTCACAAAGCAGCCCCAGACTGGGATCCTGCTCCAGCACAGCCAAGGGCTTTCCCCCTGCAGGGGCACAGGAGGGCACTCGGGGTGCACAGCACTGTTATCTGTTATCTACACCTGCCCTTTGCCCACCTGGGTCAGGGCTCCCCCACATCCACTCCCAGGGGACTGAGTGAGCTGAACCAGGGGCCACAGGGAGCAGGATGGCCGAGGCAGTGACAAAGTGGGCAACCAGCAGCATGGGCATGTCACGTTTCCTTATCACCCGCCTGAGCCTTGTTTGTGTAAAAAGGGAATTAAGTAAACACTGGGCAAAAGTTTCACTTTCATTTCCAGTCTGCTGCAGATCCAGTGCCAGCTCCATGCAGGAAGGGCACTGCCACCCCCCAGCCATGGGCACAGACATCTCCTAAAGGCTGGGTGGCAGCAGGATGTGCAGAGGTGTGGAACAGAACCCGTGTGCAAGCACATCCCAGACTCTGGAACACCAACAGCACCACCAGGAACTACCCCACAGGCCACCACAGCCACCCTGGCGTGGTGCAGGCACACAGGGGTCAGCCCAGAGGCCACCTCATTAAAATCACACCCAGCAGGCACAGACAGAAGGGACAGCACACACCTGTGACAGCACAAGGCACTCACCTGGGAACAGGGGCAAGCCCCAGCTGCCCACCTCAGCCAGCATGGGACACGCTGGTGGGGACACAGCTGGCATGAGAGAGGTGGGACAGTGCCACAGCATCTGCCCTGGGCAGCTGGTGGGGCCAAAGGAGGTCCCAGGCACTGCAGGATCCAGGTTCCATCCCTGCAGCAATCACCCCTTGGGTCCTGTCCCTCCTCGCTGGCCAAAAAACCACCAAAAGGAAAAGGGATCCAAAACACCAAAGCAGCCCAGCTGTGCCTTCTGGGCCATGGGCACTCCTGCCTTTCCCGTGGGAGCCCGTGTGCCCTCGTGGGGAGGGGGCTCACAGAGCCAGCCCAGCCCCAGCCCAGTCCCAGCACACAAATTGCAGTTTGTGCCGTGGGAGCACGGCAGCAGCCGGGGCGTGGACGGCTTTGGTGGCTTCAAATTAGTGCCTGGGAGTTGGAAGAAGGAAAACAAACCAGCAGAAACGTGGCAGGGCACCGGGCTGCAGCCAGTGCCTGAAGGGGACAACAGCCCCGTGGCCACCGGGACACAGTGCCTGGCAGCACAGGGAGAGGGGCACAGGGAGGAGGAGGAGGAGGAAGAGGAGGGTGCCAGGCTCAGCCCCTGCACCCCCACATGTTCCATCCTGACATGTGCTGCCTGTTTTCCAAAGCAAGCTGCAGGCATCTCCCCATCACCATCTGGGTGCCTGGGCTCCAGCTCCCCCTCCATGGAAGCTGGAGGTGATGCCAGCACAGGGACGAGCCACTGGCTCCCTGCCTGCCCCTGGCACAGGCACAGGGACATGCAAAGGGATGAAATCCTTCAGCATCCTTGGTCCTGATGGTCACCACAGCTCCTGTGCTGGAGAACGAGTTCCACGGCATCCAGGCTTCGAGTTCATTATTTATGTCACACTTGGAAGTCTCTGCATCTGCAAAACTTTGTGAATAATTTATGGATGGTGGATCAGGGAGGAAGAGGGACACGTTTTGCTGAAAACCAGGTCACTGAATACCAGCCAAGCAGCAAAGGGAGACAATGGAAACAGGCACAGAAACTCACTGGGGGAAAAAGATCCAACAGCATTTCTGTACACACAGACACACACTCCAGAGATGCCCTTGGCATCTGAGGATATTTAGCAAGATCAGCCCTTCAGCAAATGAGGATAATTTTAAACCTTCTGAATTTATTCTTGCTTCTAAGGGAAGGAGACAGAGCTGTGATTCATTCCTGTTTCTCTCTGTACCTACACTGAGAGCAGAAGCAGGGCAGAGCAGCCCCTTCACCAAACCCTGGCAGGGACTTTGTTACCTGTCCTTACTCCACCTCACCATCCCTGCATGCTGGTGCTGCTGCTCCAGCTCTGCTCTTCCTCCCTCTTCATCCTCCTCCCCTCCACTGCCCAGTCCAAGCACACAGTTACACGTTCTCCCCTCGCCTGCCTTCACACAAAGAGGATGTGAAACGTTCAGCAGAAGAGGCAAGAGGAAGGAAAAGGAGAGAGGATGTTGTCAAGACCTCACGTAACTCTGTCACACTGCACAGACACCCTGGGAACCCCTCCGTGCACAGGCAGCATGTCCTGAGCCAGGGCTCTGCTGTCCCCAGGCCTGCCCAGCTCCACAGCCACTGTCACAACAGCAGAGGAGCAGCCTGGACACAATGACAGTGAGATAAGGCCACCGTGCCCAGCCATGGGGACACAAACCAAAACCACTTGGAAACAATACTTCAAAATAAGACTGGCTAAGAAAAGCAAGCACCTGGTCAGAGTCAGGAATGGCCCCCAGACACCACGGGGGCTCACAGGGGTGACATCCCAGCCCCTGCAGCAGTGACACAGATACAACAGCCAGCAACAGCAGCTCCTCAACCCTGGAGCATCTCCATCCCTGCTGCTGGACCCTGGAATGGTCTGTGAGACATCAGACCTCGGACCTGTCACACACTGGGGGTGACACACATGGGAAAAGCTGGGCCAGATCCCATCCAGCACCAGGGCTCTGGATCAGTCAGAGGCATTGGAGCAGCTGCACAACCTCTGAAGTCACTCCTATAGCAGGAGAAGGACGCACAGAGGGCTGAGCATCCCAGCCTCCACACGCCCCAAACCCTCCCCCAGAGTGCCCTGGGGACCACCCCAGTGCCACACGAGCCGGGGAGGTGGCAGCAGTGCCTGGGCACTGATTTACTCTCCAGCAGAATCAGCGTTATTCCTGTCCCTGCAGCCTGGGCACTGCTGGAACTCCCCCCCAGCCCTGTGCAGGAATTAAGGGCTAATCCAGGAACACATTCAATAGAAGCTACAAAACAATTCAGCCATAAAAACATCCTTATCTCCAGAGGCCAGCGAGCGTTCTTCCTGCCCGCTGCAGCACAGCCATGGCCATGGCCTGGGGGACAGGAGCCCACAGGGGCTCACAGCACACCCCAAAATTCCTGCACACAGCGTGCCCAGGGCGAGAGCACAGCTGGACACCTCAGCCAGCACCTGCTACGAGCTCACTGACTAAGGCCAGGGACACCTCTGGACTCAGCAGCTCACTCCCAACAGGTATTTTCTGTGATGAACACGGCTGTAGGATTTGTTCTGGGATAAAATGAATGCTACAGGCAGGGCCAGGCACTGCTGCCTTCAGCAAACGCTCCCCAGCAGGACGCAGCTCAGACCTGCAGAACCATAAATGCACCCACAGCTGTCGGGTTTGAGATTCTTTTAACCCCAAATGCCAAGAGTTGGTACAATGGGAGTCCCTGTAAGCCAGATGTTACCAGCTGTTACTTCAGCACAGAGGAACTACAGGCATGGGGGCTCGGTGTGAGATGAGCAGGGGAGGGAGCAGGAATGAGCCCTGCTGGAAATGGACAGAGCATCACCTGCCTGTGCACCCCGGGGTGACCTCGCTGTCCCACAGCCCCCACAGTGACCCTGGCCAGGCTGGCTCATGGCAGGTGATGCTGCAGGGGCTGTGTTTGTGATGTGCCCCTGTCACCCCACGGCACGGACGGGTGACCACACGTGCTGGGTACACGCACCCCCCCACCCCGGATGGGTGATTTGGGCCAAAGAAACTTAAAAATAGAAAAAACCCAAATGAACCCACGAGGGAAGAGCAGAAACAGAGCCACAGCTTGGGGAGCAGCCCACCCAGCACAGCACCCCGAGGGCACAGCCATGCAGAGGTGTCCCCAGCCCCGGCCGTGGGGACAGGAGCCAGCCCAGCCTGGGCAATAGGGAGGACGGGGACACTGCCAGCCACAGGTGAGGGTGTCCCCAGCCCCGGAGCCTGCGTCGCTGCATCCTCCTCCCACCCAGACCCCTCCTCGCCTGTTTGCAGCTTCACAGGCACCTCCATGGAGACAGAGAGGAGAGCCCTGGGGGGACACAGCCACACTGGGGGCTCCGAGCATCCCCTCCCTGAGCACAGAGGGGAGAGAGGACAGCCGGAGGCGGGGGGCTGGGGGGCGAGGCACCAACCCATCACGCCAGAAAACCGCTCCCAAAGGACGCGACCCCCGAGAACCGGGATGGGATGCACCGGGACCAGAATCACACACGTCCCAATGGACCACGGCCACGCATGGACCCGCAGGGGAACCCTGCACATCCCGCTGGACCCACCCTGATGGACCGCACGTGTCCAGATGGACCGGGGACAGCCCAGGCTGTGCTGATGGTCCAGAACCGGGAGCACACGTGTCCCCATGGACCAGGGCCAGGCACATCCTGCTGGACCAGCACCAGCACCAGGCACATCCCCACGGCCCAGGCACAGCACGGCACGCACGGGGGACCGGGCTGGGCTCAGGTGGTGCCGGGTGGAGGAGCCGCCGCCGCGGGGGCAGCGCGGGGCGGGCACGGACGGGGCCGGGCGGGGGTCGCGGGGTCCCGCAGGGCCGCCCCCAGCCCCGCACTTACTCTTGAGGGCGGCGACGAGCGACTTCCCGTCCTTGATGAGCTCCTTGATGAACTTGTTGGTCTTGTCCAGCTCAGCCTCGTGGGAACGCAGCCTCTCCCGGAACTGCGGACTGTCCAGGCAGCACTCGCTGAACTCCAGCGCCGGCAGCCCCATGCTGCCGGGCACGGCGGGGGCAAGCACGCAAAAACCCGGAGAAAACGCAAAGCGGAAGGGCTTTTAGGGCGAGGCGCGCAGCCGCCGGTGCGGGCGGGCGGCGGGAGCGCGGTGCCGGGCCAGGCCGAGCCGGGAGCGGGGCCGGGCGGAGCGGCGGGAGCGGCGCCGGGCGGGGGCGGAGCCGGGGCCGCCGCTTTGGGGCCGCCGCCCGCGCCGGGCCCGCCCGCGCCGCCGCCGCGCCGCGCCCCCCCGCCGCCAGCCAATGGGAGCGCGCCGCTGCCGCATGGCCCCGCCCCCTCCGCCCTCTCGGCCAATCAGCTGCGGGGGTGGGGCGGGGCCGTGCCCTCCCCGCGCCTCCCGCACCTGGGCCGGCCGCGCCCGGGGCAGAGGCGGCTCCGCAGCGGCGGCGGCACCGGCCCGGTCCTGCCCCGCTCACAGCGACCCTGCCCCGCTCCTGCCACCCGGTCCGCTCCTGCCCTGCCCCTGCCCTGCCCCTGCGCGGGGAAACCCCCGCCCGGCCTGCGGGAGCGCCGCTCCGGCCCGCCCCGCGCCCCGCGCCCGGCCGGGTGGCGGCTCGCACGTTTGTGCTCCCATCGCACATCTGTGCGGGAGATTATTGCCCGGGCTTAGTGATGTGATCTGAGAGAATAAAGCCGTAATCTCCTGGAAGGGCTGGATACGGAGCGGCTGCGGCACCAGGGAGGAGCTGTGGGGCCCTGTCCCAGCGCTGTGTCCCCAAAAAAGCATCGTCCCACGGACGATGGCTGTCACCGCTTCCCTCCGGTGATGATGGATGCCGTCACTTCTCCCCCCAGACGATGGCTGTCGCCGCGCACACATCCCCGGTGGCTTCATCCCGCAGCCCGCTTCCTTCAGGAGCACGCCAGGAATTTGGCCGGGGCGCAGCAGCTGGCTCGGCACCTCCTTCCCTCGATCTGCAGCCAGCTGCTCCTCCTGCCGGGTCCCGCTGGCTGCCATCGGCTGCACGGTGACAACTGATGGCCAGGAAAACGGGACACACCGCACGGAGCTTAAACACCGGCACCGAGTGGAGAACCGAGCGCCCCGAGCCCCCCCCGGCTGGGACACGCACGGACCGTGAGCTCTCCCCCAGCCTGTCACAAAGAGCCGCACGGGCGGATAATCCCCGGGCTGGAATTCGCCGTTTCCCCCCCGCTCCCACCGAGCATTCCTGGCAGCTCAGCCGTGAAACGCCACCGGGGCCACCGGGGCCACCCTCGGTCCTGCCCTGAGCTCGGGCTCCAGCCCACCCCTGATGTTCAAAAGTTCATCCACCTGCCTTTTCCAGCGGGGTGGGTGCGGGCACAGCAACCTGACACCAGCTCAACCTTTTGTCTCTGTTTTTTTTTTTTAATCCTCTAAAGCACGATTCTCTCCATCCTCATGCCACAGCCTAATTCGGGCTGAGTCACCGCCTTCAAATATGGTTTGTGAGCCACATTTTTTTGGATGAGGCCTCCTAATTATAAAAAAGGATGTAATACTAATTACATGCTTATCTAGTAGGCAGGATATAAAGTTTAATGAGCTGTCATTTATGCCATATGCACACAGCCCCATAAAAGCATGAGATGTTATTATTTGGATTATGCTCCCTAATTCTCCCCTGCACAAAGCCACAGGAACACTATTTTGGTTTTATCCTTCTCCATCACCATTACTCGTATTTAAAAAGTGTTCCAGCACTAATAGAAAAGAACCTGTAACTAGATTTATAGGACACTGCCTTAGAGGATGTGAATATCTGGGGCTCGAAATTGAATTTTTTTTCAGCACTTTTCCAGACTCACAGAAAATAATGATGCTCAGACTGTCATTTTCTGATGAGGACAGAATCGAGGCCACACAAAGCTCTGCCACACATGAAACACCACATATACCACTGGGAGCGAGGCCTCAGGCAGGCAGTGAGGAATCTTCTCCCCTTTTTCTGGCTTCACTCATCAGGACACACTCGTTGTGTTTAAGCTCCAAATGTGGGAGCAGAGCAGGGCAGCAGGACCGGGCAGGACCAGCCATGGACATCTTCCAGCCCCACTTTTCTAGTATTGTGCATCCAAACTGCAAAAGAATATCACAGAATATCCTGGGTTGGGAGGGACCAACAGCAATCATCGAGCCCTGCACCCCAAGAATCCCATCACATTCCTGAGAACATTTATCACTGAAGGGAAAAATAAGCAAACAGACTTCCACATCCTCCTGCCTGTGGGTAACAACAGCTTGCATCCCTCTGTAATCCCTGCCATATTTGCCTGCTTTGATTTATTGTTTTAAGCAGCTGGGTTGTGTCACCCCCAGTGAGCCAGGTCAGCTGGACACCGTGCAGGGATCCAGCAGCACTGGCCACTCAGAGCTCGTCCCGCTGGCCACAGGAGTCCTCCCCCTCCAGGAGCCTCTGCAGGGCTGTGCCCACACATCCTACCCACAGAGGAAAGCTGTGGCTGCCCTAATCCCACACTCTCACCCCTTGACCACACATTAGCACATTCTCCCTCGCTCACCAAGCCACATCCCACAGCTCACTCACTCAGGGAACATCTGCAGAAAACTACTCCAGCATTAAAATAAAAATTTAAAAAGAGCAGTTTCTACCTAGATGAGGTGACTCTGGATCAAATAACTGCTGGTGCAGGGGTAAGGGCTGCCACAGCAAAGCAGAAGGAAGAGGGACAGTGCCAGAGGGCAGGGATGGATGGGATATTGGGAAGAATCCTTCCCTGGGAGGGTGGGCAGGGCTGGCACAGGGTGCCCAGAGCAGCCGTGGCTGCCTCTGGATCCCTGGCAGTGCCCAAGGCCAGGCTGGACACTGGGGTTTGGAGTGGAAGATGTCCCTGCCATGATAGGGGGTAGGAACTGGGTGATCTTTGAGGCTCTTTCCAGCACAAACCAGTCTGGGATTCTGTGACTGCACCAGCACCAGCTCAGATCAGCCCCAGCCCTCCCTGGCCACCAGCCTTATCTCTGGGTGGGTCACACAACCAGCTGCATTAAACCGGTTTGTTTGAAAAACAACAATTCTCCCCAGAGTGAGCTTTCAGCTGGATCAGCTCCCTCATCTGAGCACAGCACCTTCCCACCTCCACATCGCTGCCCATCCTCACTGCACTTGTCACTGGGTGCCCGTGACACATCCATTACTAACACGGCAGAAGGAGCCCCTTCTCCTCCAGGAAAGCTTCCTGCCACTTGAGTTCAGCAATTAGGGAAAGCTGGAGTGACAGCAGGAGCGGGAGGTGAGGAGCCAGCCCCGTCCCCACACGACAGCTCTGCCCCCCCACATCAGCTACCTGGGCATCTCACAGCTCTGTCTGAGAGACTGATCTGAGCTCAGCATCCTCACAGGGACCCCGATCCTCACTGGGGACCTAAACCCCTCATCCCATCACTGCCCTGCCTCGGGGATCTTGGAGCTTCCCTCCAACAGCTGCCCCAGCAGCATTCCCAGCGCTGTGAAAAGCAGAAATGAGGTACAAGAGGGAGGGATGGTGGAAAACCACCCACTGCTCCGGGTCTCACAGCACCAGAGGCTTGGGCACTAAAGCATTTCATTAAAGCCCAGGAGACAGCAGCAGGCATCCCTGAGTGCCAGAATGCAGGAGCTGTACCAGAGGTTCCTCGGAGTTGCCCTCAGGCAGCAATGTTCAAGGTCTAGTTATTATGTGGCTGAATATCACACTCACATCTTCCCTGCTCCCAGGACTCTCTTTATGGGGCTAGACACAGACAAGGCATTGTATATGGCAAAAATAAAACGAGCCTGTTCCAGATAATACATTAGACCCTCATGATGAATCCCCTTGAGCTCCCTGTTGTAAACCAAAGGGAATGTATTGGCTCGTTGTACTGACAGCCCTCCAGGAGATTTGATCCTTGATCCTTCCATTGGCTGTGAACACAACTCTAGGGCAGACACCAAGGGTTTCCCCTGCTCCCGTGCTATTCTAGAATTGTGCTGTGGCTTTATTCCTGTTTCATACTTCTCCATGTGACTGCAGCAAGCCTCGGTGACACCTTCAGCGTGACAGTGCTCCCTCCACCGAGCACTCACGAGCTTCCCCCAGAACATGATGTTAGATATTTATACTTTAGAGTGGAACAGTACTTTTCCTCACTGCGTTGCACCTCTCACAGTCACACATGAATTTCCACCTACTCAATTCCTTTTTTCCCTTCTACAGCTCACTTTTCTCCTTGCAGTCACTCCTCCCGGCCCTCAGGCACATTTGCAGGGGTGGGCGAGACGAGACAGGAGACGGGAGCAGCAGTGACACAGCTGAGCCTGTGCAGGGGGACGGATCCCCCAAAATGAAAAGCAAACCGGGCTGGGGTCTCTGCTCCCAAACCCTCTTCGGCTCCCAGCTCACTCTCATTAACCTCCCGTGATTTTTTTCAGTACTCATCCTTAGCTGCGCTGCCAAGTCTGCCCAGACTCCGCAGATTTGGAGCCGGTTTTGGAGCCGGTTTCCCGCTGAACGGAAATATCGGAGCCATCTCCTGTTAGTCAGCCTGCGGTGCCACAACCATCTCCACATCCTGAATCCTGTCCCTGAACCCCTGCTCATGCCTTGGGCCATGAGTTCCTCTCCCTGCACAGAGCACGGTGCTGTAACCACGGCTGATGAGCCTCTCATCAATTTTAACTAATTGGCTTCACCTCCTGCTCTTGCTCTGCCACGCTCACACCCGCCTGGACATGCCCAGGTGCTGGCAGCGCTGCCTCTGCCAAGCCTGGCACGTCTGACCTGGGAGCACCAAGGAGAGCAGGAGTGTCCAGGACATCCCAGGGGAGCTGTCTCCGGAGGAGGAGACCTTTCATCCCCTTCCCTTTCATCTCCCTGGCAGGTGTCAGAGCAGATAGAGCAGGAATCTCCAGCTCCCTGTGCAGGGAGCACAAGGACGCTGCTCAGGCTTCAGAGAGGATCCTGGTGCTTGTGCTTTTAGCCAGTGGGGAAGGTTGGTTTCCTTTGAATCCTTGT